GCTCCTGGACAAGCAGCACCGCTGCTCTCCCAGCTCAAGTTCCCCTTCCAGGCGCCGCCCGCGCTGCACTCTCCAGCCCCTGGCCGAACCCTGGCCCTGCCCTGCTCAGTCCCCGCCGCGCTGCCCTCGGTCAGCTGCTCCTCCCGCCTGCTCCAGAGAGAACACCCAGCACCGGCACAGGCGGGGAAGACAGAGGGGCAGGGTCCGAGCGGGTCTTTCAAGACCCAAGTACAGACACCACTAAAGGCCAACGTGGTGAGCCAGTGAGTTTTGTTGGGGTATTTACAGTAATGTGGGAAAGGGGTTACTTACAGGAGCAGAAATGACTCAAAGACAGTTCCATCACCACACCAGCACAGGTGATAGCTCACAGAAGCTGTAAATTTGGAGCACACAGCATAGCCTACAGACAGCTCAACCAGTTGGAGGTGTCATTTCCAGATAGCTCAGCTGGACTATGCCTCTTCCAAGCAGCTAAGATGGTTTCTCCTTCTTTTTAGGCTGCTTGCCTGGTCTGCCTCTTTTAGGTAGCTAAATGTGTCTGTCTTTTTGCAGCCTAATTTGTCTGAAAGTGATGCTGAAGAATCTTTATTGGTTACTCTTGGGAAGGAAGGGGCTTGTGAATCTGGTCAGTTTTAGGGACTTCCTGAAGATATTTCAGTTGTTTACCTTGTATCTTAAGGTGCTAGCCCCCCTGCCAGATAGAATGTTTCATTCTAGAAGGAACTGCTACACAACAATGTATTTTCTAGAAAGTATGCAAGGTGCACCATAAGCATGCCTGCTATATGCAGAGATCAGAAAAGGACCTCAGACCTCTTGGAACTGGAGTTATACGTGGTTGTGAGCCACCATGTGGGTGCTAGGAATCAAACCTGGGTTCTCTGTAAGAACAGTAAATGCTCTTAAATGCTGAGTCATTTCTCTACCCCACAGGCACTGTTTTCTTCTAAGCAAGTTGACCAGTGGATCATCACTGAGCTGCCTGGCATGTTAAATCAGTTCACCATGATTGGGACAACCCCACTGTGAACAGCACCCATCCTAGAGTCATCTTTCGTGGACCTCCAAACAACTGGGGCCTGTGCATTCTGAGAAGCTGGGGTGTGCTTATTCAACCACTAGGAGCTCCCTCAAGACCTCTAGTTACCTCCACAAAAAGATGCTGCAGACTAGGGTCCAGGACTGTAATAACTTTTCTTAAAATTGTATCTTAAGGACCATGAAGATGGCTCATCAGGTGATAACACTCAAATAAGCCTGATTACCCGAGTTTGATTCCCCAGGACTCACATGGTAGAAGGTAAGAACTCACCCTCACAAGTTGTTCCTAGCCTCCATGCATACACAAACACATAAAATAAATAAGAATAATAAAAAATTATTAAATAAATTTAAACCAGCAAATAAATGAGGGTGTAAAATATAAATCCTTCAGAATTCTCCAGGGCTATAAAAATACTGTGTATAAAGAAAACTTCCTTCAAATCTTATTCTATTGATATAGAATCAGTCTTGTGTGTTCATGTGTGAGTGAATGTTTGCCTGTGTGTGTGAATGTGTCTGTGTGTATGAATGGGTGTGCCTGTGTACATGAATGTGTGTGTCTTATGTGTATGAATTTGTGTGTGTGTGTGTGTGTGTGTGTGTGTGTGTGTGTGTGTGTGAATGTATGTGCCTGTGTGTGTGTGAATGTGTGTGCCTATGTGTGTCTTTGTGTGTGTGCCTATATGCTTAAGGAAGCCAGAGGTTCACATCAAGATCTCTTCCTCCATTGTTTCTCTACTTTATTTTTAGAGACAATTTCTCTCACTGAACCTGGAGCTTAACATTGTGGTGGAACTAGCTGGCCAGTGAGACTCAGAACCCTCCTGTCTCTGCCTCGTGCCTGTATTTTGTTTGTTTTTACTTACTTTTATTTTTTAACATGGACGCTGGGGATGTGAACCCAGGGCCTCAGTACTTTACCCACTGCACATCTCTGCAGCCCCAGAATCAGTTTTTAAAAAATAGAAGTGGATAGATAGGGATCTGGGCAAGGAATGGAGGCTCTCACTGTTGAAGTCTCTGGATAGCTGAAAGTAAAAATTTCCAGAAAATTAGCATTTGCTGTGAAGACTGCCTCCATAGAGTCAATGTTTCTTTTATATGGAGTTGTGTTGTTGTTTTCAAATAATAATGTTAAAATAGCAATAAACCATGCTTAAGACTAATGGCCTTCAGTGTGGCCTTACTCCTCATGGATGCTTTCTAGGAATCTCACAGGAGACTCAATTGTTTATAGTAAAAACATCCTAACTCTACACAGTCCTATGATCTAAGCTTTAACCTTATCAGCAGTAATCCTGACTAGTGAGTGCTAGGAACCACCCTGAGGTCTCAGTTCAATTGCTTAGCAACCCTTGGAGATCATTACTTCAAAACTCACCAAAACCCAGCATATGGCTATGGTGGAGACAATGAGGTCAACCCTAAGAAATTAGTGTACTTGGGTGTAATTTTCCCCCCTGGATGCCTCTCTCTCTATTAAGGTTTTAAATCCCTTTAATAACCCCCAACTGTGCTTCATCTGGCTGATTCTAAAATTCCTTTCTGCTCTGCAGTCAAGCATCCAGCCTTAGTGATAACTGAGGTCATTTGGGGCTAGTTTTCTTGTCAGATGTAAGGACATTTTCTCCATCTTTCTGGTTTATTTTATATTTTAAGACAGGTCTTGCTATGAATCCCAAGTTGTCTGGAAACTTGCTCTATGTCAAATAGACTAGCCTCAACCTTACAGCAATTCTGCCTCTGTCTTTGGGGTGCTGGGAGTGCTAGGATTGCAGATGTGCACCCCCATGCCCAGTCTTCATCTTTTTAAGGCTCCAGAGACTCCTCCACATGGTAAGACCACAAGCGATTACTCTATTGATGGGGTTCAATGAAACTACTGTAGTGAGATAACGTAGTTCTATCTGGTTTGTTCACATTACTATAGGAGGCTTGAAGAGATGAGGCATTCTTTCGTCTCCTCTGCACACCATCCCAAACCTATTCCAAAGCAACTAAGCCCTGAGTGGAGGAAGTCTGGGCTTCCCTAGCTCCTTAGAACTAACAGAACGCTGCTCTCTGTGGCTGAGCTTTCTAGAGACAAGGAACCCAATTGTCTGCCATAGGGAGGGATTGTATGTTTTCAGAGAAGCTTCCATGGCAAGCACAAACATTTCTCCCAAGCCAGTTCAGATATCAGAGAGCATGCATTACCTCCTGCATCAGAAAAGCCCAGGGACTGCATGGAATTTGAGTGTAGTTTGATCCAAAGATTCTCTTGGCTCAGACTTCATTCTTGTATTAAAAATAGCTAAAGTAGTGAGAGTCATTCATCTAGCCACACTATAGGAAAAAAAGAAAAAGTCTGACCTGGGACTTCCACTGAGCTCCTGAGATGTGTCATAAACGCACAGGTTTAGTTCATGTGCCAAGGAGGGCAGAAAGTCCTGAGTGACTGGGCTCATGTCAAGCCCAATCTATAGTTGAGGAGTAGATGGCTTTTCCAAAGTTAGTGGAATTTTCCAAGGAAACTTGGCTTGTGGGGACAGGGTAGGTAGAGACCTATGTGGGGTGGAAAGGTATATGGACTCAAGGAGAACCAAGGAGAAGCCCTGGACCATGAAACTCCTTGCCCCAGGTGCTATAGGGGTAGACAGAGCCCAAACTCAACCCATGTACACTGCCTCCCCAAAACTATGAAAATCAAAATATGATAGTGTACCTTTATTCTAGAATAAATTCCTACCCATAGAGGTCATTGGATCAAAGGGCTCACACATTTCCAATTCGTAAGAGATACTGCTATTTGTAATTCCTGGGAATGTCTATTCTCTCCTGTCTTGTAAATATTCCTTATCTTCTTCATATTTACTGCCCTCAAAGGTCTGACCAGGCTTTTTGAGAGTACAGGGCCTGGTATCTCTTCACGTACTCATCAGCCAGCCATAGATCTCCAAGTCACTTGCTCCGCCCTTTGTTCTCTATGAGTTTGTTTATCTTTTCCTTTTCTTGTTGACTTGTGAAAGCTCATGGATACAAGCCCTTTGTTTCATCTATCACAGACGTCTCTCCCAGTTTGTCCTTTTAATTTTGTAGAGAGAGAGCTTTTATTGCCTAAACTGAGCTAATTTCATGTATTTAAATATGCCAGATTTCCATGGGTTTCTGCTTAGAAAGGTCTTGTCTTTCCTGCTCTAAAATAAAAAATAATATGAGCCAGGTGGTGGTGGTGTATACTGATAATCCCAGCACTCGGGAGGCAGAGGCAGGCGAATCTCTGAGTTTGAGACCAACCTAGTCTACAAAGTGAATTCCACGGTAGCCAAGTCTCTACAAAGAAACCCTGTCTCAAAAAAACAACAACAATAAAAATAATGATAATAATAATGTACATAATGTCCCCTGTTTTCATTCATATTTTCTGTGAGTTTTCAAATTTAAACGCCTTCTCTATCTGAGTTGCTGTATTATAGTTAGAGGCCGAGATGACTGACCAGTGTGTAGGACAGAAGAACTTTGTGAATTGAAGAACCTCAAAGCTTTCCCACAGACATCTTCTTTCCTGGAAGCAACAAGAGGGATTAAAAGGAAAGCTGGTGTGTCTCTTTAAGTTCAGAGACATCCAGGAAAGGGAGCTCAGTGGGAGCAGGATGCAGCCTTCTGATGTTTGATGTGGGATGTCCTTGAGTATGCTGTAAATATGTATTGTTTTTATTGGTTAATAAATAAAGCTGATTTGACCAATGGCCAAGCAGAATATAGCTAGGTGGGAAATCCAAACAGACATAGAGAGAGAAAGAAGGCGGAATCAGATAGACGCCATGTAGCCGCTGGAAAAGCAAGATGTGAGGTAATAAGCCATGAGCATCGTGGTAAAATATAAACTAAATGGGTTAATTTAATTGAGACAACTAGTAATGTGTCTGAGCCATTGGCTAAACAATTATAATTAATATTAAGCCTCAGAATGGTTATTTAATAAGCAGCTGTGGAGAGCGGCGGGTGGGAGAAAAAAACGGGTCCAATGGGGCTGGGGAAGACAGAGAAAAGCTTCCAACTACAGATGTTGATACCCCAGAAAAAGAGACAGACTGAGCCCTGCAGCAAGAAGCAGTGTGGTGGAAAAAGCCACTTTGTTTCAGGAAGAATCCTGACAGGGATGTGAGGGAGTCCAACCAAAGGACCAGACACGAGGAAGCATTATTTTTCCCACCTGACAGGTGGCTTCATTAGCACACATTGTGTTCCTTTCACAAGGATTTTTGAGCAACTACTCTGAAACCAGGAAAGGACCCCCACATCTGGCCCAGTGATAACGGAAGTCAGTCATGACCCTGAGACAGCAGGCAAATCTGCCCTGCTGCAGAAACAGGAGGTCATCATTTTAAACACATTACCCTCAGATGTCAAAGTTAACATCTCTGTCAGATCTGAAAAAGCAGTTCTGGACTCTAGAGAAGTGGGTGTAGCTTTAAGGACAATAACCGGATGGCACAGCAGGGGCTGGATGTGGAGGCTGGCCCTAGCTGCTCCAGCATGGCAATAGAGTGCATGTACCTGTTTCTACATGTTCTAGAACCACCAGAAGGTATAGGCATGACACTTGGTGTGGTAGGTGCTCCACAAGAGCTCCATGAATGCATGTGTCACGGTCTGGGAAACAGGACTGCTCTTTTCCTGTGTACTTGGGGACTATGTAGACAGCCCCTCCCATCTGCTTCCTAAGAGTTTGCCAAGAGCAAATGCCTTGAGACTGCAAGTTGGCTGAAAAACAGGTCACTACTGTGTCTCTCTCTTGCCCCCGGATGGGTAACCTCCAGTGAACATCGCCCCCACCCTCAGAAACTCCATCAATGACAGGCCCTGTGGGCACCCACTGCCTGGCATTCCTGCCCCCATTCCTGCTGACTCACGCAATCTGCAATCTGGTTGATCCCAGCTTCCTGCAGCAGGCCAGCAGGGGCCAGAGGGGAGGGGCAGGTGATGCAGGAGGCTGCAGTCAGGAGAAAGGGGCGCTTTCCTGTTTCTCTCCTTTGAAGGGGGTGGTCAGGAAGTAGACTTTCTGGAGGCCACAGTGGACTTATCCTCCATCCCCAACTGAACCAGGTCCTCACTGCCTTCCACTCAAAGCACTGGGTCCCTCCGGCCTCTGCGCCCAATGCTGGATTAAAGCCCACTTCACAGCTGACCTTACCATTACCTATGATCCCCGGCTGTGATGGTCTAGTTTGATGGCCTGTGACTGGGTGTGCTGGCAAGTGTAGCTGAATGTGATTGTGGTCGGGCACTGCGGGGCCAGTCCATGTGTGACTCAGAACCGCTGTGTAATTGTGTGCAGCTGGGTCTGATTACACCCAGAAGAAATGTTGGTTGTACATGGTTGCATCTCACTGTGTGATTTGTGAGACTCTATGCTACAGTCCATGAATACTTGTCTGTGGTTACATGTGTTCCAAGAGGCTGTGTGATGCCGAGTGCAGTATGTGATAGATGTGTCCAAAAGGGGCTGTGCGTAGGCGGGTGGGGCTTCGTGTGATTTCTAAGGCCTAGTCCCAAAGAGATCAGGGGTCTGCAGCCTGTATGCTGTGGTAGAAGAGAGAAGGGAGGGGGTGTGTGTGTGTGTGTGTGTGTGTGTGTGTGTGTGTGTGTGTGTGTGATACTCTGATACTCTCTCTCTCTCTCTTTTTTTTTTTTCTAAATCCTATCCCTGAGGAGGCCACAAGGTTCTCACTTACAAAAGGAATCGGAACAGGCTGTAAGATGTTTTTCCCCTGGGTCACTGACCATTTTTAGAGTGTTTTCTCGAAGTTCAGGCTGAACTTCAGGGGAATGCCAGCCCATCTGAGCTCTTAGAGCAAGTGTCCCCTTAGCTCACAATGTCTTAGTATAGCCTTCACCAGACCCAGGCTGCTTCTCAGCCCTGCAGAGACACACAGCCCTATCTCTCAGCATGGCCACCTCTGGACATTCTCCCCATCCCTCCTCTGGCTGCAGAAGAAATACAGGCACCTAGTTCCCCTATTTCCCAGCCCTGAGGATAGACTTTCCAGGAGTTGATCACTAACTTTTGCAGGGGTGACAAAACCTCCCCCCACCAAAGGATTTGCAGTGCTTCCCATGTCTGCATGTTTATTTGTTTGCATTCCTGCGTCCCTCGGGGCTGCTGCATGTCTGTACTCCTCCCTCGGGGCTGCTGCATGTTTGTATTCCTCCCTCGGGGCTGCTGCACTGGAACCTTTGCCCTCCACTTTTCCACCTCAGAGCCCCAAGTCTGGCCTGCTCCCTCCTCTGCACAAGGAGCCACAGCCTCAGCTCCATGTAACCCCAGCAGTCCTTCCTGCAGCTAAGGGGTCCTCTGCTCCTCGAGGCGTCTCACAGGACTGTGACCTTGCCCAGAAATGACAAGACTTACCCTCTGTCTTATTTTCTGAAGCCCTCAGCTGCCCAGGCATGCAAGGTAACCCCAGCAGTCCTTCCTGCAGCTAAGGGGTCCTCTGCTCCTCGAGGTGTCTCACAGGACTGTGACCTTGCCCAGAAATGACAAGACTTATCCTCTGTCTTATTTTCTGAAGCCCTCAGCTGCCCAGGCATGCAATCCTCAAACTGCTTCTGTCCCTGCTGGGAGAGAATCCTTGCGGCCACTCCTATTGATGCTGGACACATGGAGAGCACAGGGTGAACAGGCAGCTGCGGTACTTTTGAGAAGATGAAGGACTTCTTCCTAAGAAGAAACCCAGGGTCAGGAGTCAGAGTACTTGGTATGAAGGGCTGGACTACAGCCAGGGCAGACCTGTCCTGCCAACACCAGTGAACTCACAGACAGGCAGAGGGCCCCTGGAGAAAGGAGCTCCTAGGCCAGCAGCATCCTAACTCACCATCCATCCCAAAGCTGTATGACAGAGGAAGGCGCATTTCCTCACTCAGGCTTCAGTTTAGCCACCTCAAAGACTGGAAAAAGATGGCAGACATGAAATCTCAAAGACATGAATGACTTCCACTTGCAACCTGAAGACAACTTTGCTCCAAGTCCACGTTCCTTCCCAACCCAGACAGTCCACATCTCTGATAATGTTCTTCCCTCTTCAGCAGAGTCTATGGGGAAACTACTTGGAAGGGATGAAGAAAGAGCTGGGCAAGAAAAATTATGGAGGGGAGGTATGAAGGTAAACATGGCCACCAAGGCTCTGGAGCTCCCCATGGTAGGTCTTAGACACTGGGACCTGTCAAGACTTTCCCCTGCTCCCAGCTTTGTCATCTAAGTTATCCTTTCCTCTCAGCCCATGACTACCTACCCAACCCCACTGCCTTCCAATCCCCTCAGGTCCCCTGCCGATGCAGTTCTGGACTTAATTAAACCACCTGGTAAGCATTATAGTTCAACACCCATGAACTATCTGAACTATACCAGCTTCCTCCCCATGAGAAGGTCAACAGAGAGGCTGGGAAAATTATCAAGACACCACTAGCCTTATCTTCTAAACAGTTACAATAGCAAGAATGTCTATTGACCTCCCTGGTCAATGCCACATGACAAATCCCACTGACCCCAACATCCAGAAAAGTAGTAGAAATGACAGAAGTAGGCTGATGGAAGTGACCAGGCATAGTGGGGCCTGAGGACCATCTCTCATCCAGCATTTCAAAATAGGGTGAAGAAAAGACAGTTACTCCTCATTGCCTCTGTCATTTCTGGAGTCTTTACTGAATGCTGGGTGCAAGGACATTCTTCCACCTCATACCTCGGCCCCTTAAGAGCCATATGAAACAAAGGTCAAAAGTCTATCTAAGGGACAGACTTAAGATGGTTTTCATTATCTTGCCTTCCTGTGACCACTGCCCATCAGTGCAGCAGAACCTATGTATCACTTATAGCCAATAGAATAAAGGAAAGGTGGGATAGTCACTGCCATCACTATATTATCAAAGCCCTAGTGTTGCTAACAGCCAGGTGCCAGAGACCCACTCCGAAGATGTCCACATCAGCAATCTAAGAAAGGTTTGCAGAGCAATGAACCTCTGCAAGTTAGAAACAGCTGTTGGCCAGCAGGGAGACTAGCCATAGTTCTGTAGCCATAAGGAATGCTCCTGAGCCTGTGAGAAGGCCCATCTCCACCTGAACCTCCAGATTAAGATGCACCCCTGGCCAGATAACACCTTGATTACATCCAGCTAAGAGCATCCTACTATACCATGTCTGGACTCCTGGCCCATAGAAACTGTGAGACAGACTTACGTTGTTCTAAGTTCCTGTGTTTGAGCATTCATCACGAGAAAACAGAACATAGATATAAGTATGATATCTGTCTTTTAGATGAGAACCCTAAAGCTCAAAGACTTTGGTGAGAGTCCCTCCCTTGCTTTGAGGCTCAGCAGGGACCAGAGTCTGCCCTAGACTACGTATGTTGATGTGCTTGACAGACAAATTGGCCATTGTTATTCAGTAGTCACTCAAATAAGTAGTGGCCTACATGATCATTGACTGAAATACCATCTTTCCAACAAGTGTTTGTTGAGTATCACCAGTGTGCCCAGTCAAGGAGAAACAATGGTACGCTACACAGACACACACCAGTGTCTCAATGGCAAAGAGCTCAATGAAGAGTGTGGACAATACACAGGATCTTTATATGATGAAGGTTATAAAGTACGAATGGATGGGATGAAATGGAAGCATGTGGGACAGCCAGCCTTGGCCCAGGGCAAGAGACAGACTCCCTGAGTAAGTGAAGCCCAGTTCTTTGGAAGGTGGGCCTGGTAAGGAGTCAGCCCTTCCACATACTGTATAAGTGAGTAGGTAGGTGAATAAGTTTTACTGGTCAAAGATCCCCAGAGAAAAGGACTCCCCCTGCAATGTGAGGTCATCCTGCTTCTAAGTTTTTTAGCTTCCAAGACACATGCTCCAAGGATCCAAGGCCTCCGTGACTAAGCAGTGATGCTCAAAGACATTAGGGTTCACTGAATACCACTTCTGCATGTATCACTGGTGGCTGTAGTTAGCATGAGCCTGTGTAGCTGGGCTCTTATTCTCCAGACATCTAGTGGTGGGGAAATGGCAGGTGGAGGGAAGTGTGAGGCAAAGTGGGGAGATGAATCAGGAGCTGATGAACAGAGCCAGAGCAAAAGGCAGGCATTAGAAGAAGATCTCCATGGGTCAAGTTTCAGCCTATGATGACTCACAGCTCCAGAGGTCTTTGCCAATGAGCTGGCTGGCTAATATGGATCAGGCAGGTTCCTAGCAGGAAGCAGACAGCACGAGCAAATTGGTCATTTAAGAGAATTTCATAAAGAGACTATTGTTAGTGGTCTTGGCGGACATACAAAAGATTGTAAGGACCTTGACCAAGATCGGCAGCCCATCCCATCAGGCCTCACCACACACAGGAAGTTATCAGAGCATCAGGGAGCTTGAACTGAGTGGATAGGGCACCAGGTAGGACTGTGGCTCTGCTTAGGTGTACAGGCTGTGGCACCCTGAAGGAGGTGTTTTGTGTCCTGACCTTGCCCTGCCTTCTGTCTCCAACAGGCTGAGAGTCTGTGGGTCGGAACAGAGCAAGGCACCTGCTGACGAAGTCCCCTCGGGGCAGCCTTCTATGGAACAGAGCAGAGCAAAGTTGGAGGCAGATTGTGGCAAAGTGTTTGTCCAACACTACCAGAGGGGAAAAACATTCTTTTTCTTTTTGTGATGTTCTTTTCACATTCTAGATCAGAGTTTCTCAACCTGTGAGTCTCGACCTCTTCAGCAAACCTCTATCTTCAAAAATATTTACATTGTGATTCATAACAGTGGCAAGATTACAGTTCTGAAATAGCAATGAAAAATGTTATGGTTTGGAGTCATCATAACACTGTATTAAAGGAACTGTATTAAAGGGTCACAGCATTAGGAAGGTTTAGAACCACTGCTTTAAACCAGTGCACTGTGGAGACCAGTGCACACAGACCCTGTTGTAGGAGCCCACAGAAGCCCACTTGGGATTAAGACAGATTTCCCAAAAAATTCTAAAATGGCCTTAAACAGCCATCTGCCAGTTTGAGCTACATAATTAATGTAAAGAGGTCAAATATTAAGCCAAGATTAAAAACAAGCAGAAAAAACTATTCATTAATATGCAATTTTCCTTTATCATCAATAAGTGGTAAAATTATATGTATACAAAATTATTTTAAACAATTTACTTGTGGTTTATTACAGAAAAAGGAGGAGGAGAATGGAGATGAGGAGGAGAAAAGGGGAGGAGGGACTCACTCTTACCTTTTGCTCAGTTAAGGACTCCGGACCACCCACTCACCTTCTCAGGCCTCGGTTTCCTTCTCTGTTAAAGGAATGGGGAGTGTCCTTATGTGTTCACTTTCCACATTTGAAATGGTTTCATGAACTTTGGGGCCCCAGATGGACCCTGGAATGCATAGGGCTGACTGCAAGCTTTTTCATCAACATGAAAGCAAGATCTGGACCACTGAGAAGCCAGATCCAGACACAGAAGCTCTAAGCAAGGGAACAACCATGTATGAATGGCAGCCTGGCTCAGATGCCTCAGGACTGGGACCAGAGGCCCTCTCTCCACATGTGTGCCCAAGCCTGAAGCTGCAGAAGGAAGATGCTTGATTTCCTGGTCCCTCAGTGAACAGCATGATACCCAGAAACCCACGGCTGGCCCTCAGCAGATGTGTGAGTTGGATAGAGCAATGTGGACCAGCATGGGTTTAGCTCCAAGGATCCTTGGCAGCTCCTAGTCCCTCTCAGGTTCCTACACTCCTGCAGCCTAGACTGGGACATACATAAATAAGGAGCTCACAGCCTCATGGGTATTCCAGGCAGCCGGGCAGCTGGTTACTAGAAAACAACACCCTGCCATGGATAACTTAGGGTCTCAAATGCAGAGGTTCAATACCCTCAGAGTCCCACCAGACCTGCCCCATCTCTAATCTTCCAGTGCCCAAAACAAAGGCCCCTCTGTGAGACCCACAGGCCTCTTCCCTTTGCCTCTTATCACCCACATCAGAGTTCACAGGAAGAGGGTTTCAAAACCTCAGAGTCAGAACTGCACTGAGGTTAGTACTTTTTTTTTCAAGAGAAAGGAAGCCAGAAGGGTGGGAAGGGGTGCAGGTGCAGCCCATGAAGGCCCTGGCTATGGAGGGAAGGGCTTGCACAAAGGGTGAGTGCCAGAGGGACAGACCTTCTCCCTCAGCGTACTTGCCCAGGGGCAGACAGGTCAAAGAATCTGTGTCTGTACTGGGGAGTTGCTCTTGATGCTTCAAAAGGATCAGGCATGGAGGACCATGGGCCATCCAAAGACATTTGATGAGACCTATCCTGCCCAGTAACTAGTACCTCTCCCTTGTCTGGTGGCCTCTCTGCCTAGAGAAACTCAGAGGACTCAAGGCCTCCATGGCCCTGCACTGCTCAGGTACAGAGCCCTGGCCTCATTTCCAAACCTGCCCCTCCCCCTAGGCTTGCCACACTGCTATGCAGCCTCTGAGCAGGGATCGTCTATGGCCAGTCATCTCGACTTTTGTCCATGTGAGTTGCATTCTAGAGCTGAGAATGGGAAACATTCCATTTTCATATCGCCAACAGCGCTGTGATGAAATGTCTTGAGTGGCTTGCAAGATGCTTATCTACCACATCTGACATGGGGGTGGACTTGACATTGTTTATTTTACTGTCTGTATTGCATTTTTATTTGTTTTATCTTGCTACTTTGAGTGAATCCTTCTTTTAAAAAAATTTGGGGAGCAAGTTGTGGAACATCTCAAATATTGAGAAAATGATAGGAAATGTTATTACCTGCTATCTAGCTCTTAGTTCCTTCTTTTTCTTCCTCTTTCTATTCTTCTTCTTCTTCTTTCTTCTTCTTCTTCTTCTTCTTCTTCTTCTTCTCCTTCTTTCTCTCCTCCTCCTTCCCCTCCTCCTCCTCTTTTTCTCTCTCTCCTTACCCCACTTCTTCTCACCTCTCTCTGTAAGATCTCATGTATCCCAGGCTGGCTTCAATCTTAATGAATGATAGATACTATCTTGCTTTCTTAATAAAACTAGGATTGCTCTACATATACTGTTCTTCAACTTGACATTTTCTCACAACTTATTAGTGTTTTTTGACATCTCTCCATGTGAATGCTAGTAAATGAACAATAGTCTCTTAAATACCTGCTGAGGTTCCAGTTTATTTAATGTTTTCCACAGGCAGGCACTTAGGTGGTTTACAGTCACTGTGTTATTCTAAACAAGCCTACAGACTACATTTGCCATGTTGTTCTCTTTACTTGTAAGAATTCTGTTGTACACCACATACCCAGAAGTGGACTTTCTGGAGAAAAGTATCCTGAACATTTGCCATCTTGAAAGAATTTCCACTTTTGCCTTCTAAAAATGACCAACTTGAACACCTATCTAGAGCACAGGGGAGTTTTTCCTCCATATATCTTCAAGATCATAGCTACTTGTGCCATGGCTGGCCTTTTGTTTATCTGCTGTGAACTGTGTCCCTATGCCGCCCCCAAGAATTTTATGTTCTCCTTTGTCTTTTGGTTTTTTATGTTTGAATCTTTGATCCGTCAAGAATCAATTCTAGATACTGAACACATATTGATATTTCCTGTTCTGTAAATAAATCTGATTAGATGCCATGCTAGGGAAGAGAGGCTTTCTCTACCTCTAAGAAGCCACAGACTGAGTCTGCCACAGGTTCTGATGTAAACCAAACAGACACGGAAGGTGAACCCAAACAAATGATGCTAACACCAGAGGGATGAGTGACAATCAAGAAGGCTTGGAGGGAGTGAGGAAAAGAGTGTTCTGGAACCTGAGGGTGTAAGAAATGTAAAGGCTCAAGTCCGGAAGACACTGTTAGGGAGACTGAGGGGTACAAAAGAAAGAGGCCACTGTGGGGTAGACTGGAGGCTTCAGATATATGGAGGTGAAGATCCTAGGCCAATTCCAGGAGATTGGTGTAGTGGGATTAGGGCAGGGTGCTGGTAAAGATACCTTGGATGTGTCTATGGTGACAGAAGTGATTCATTTGGGGAGATATTAAAAAGGGGATTGTTAAGGTCTGAGTCACCAGGGAAGCCTGCTGAGGGGCAAAAGAGTCAAAGATGAGGCATCAATGGGATGATGTCCACTCCATGAGTAAACTGTGATATTATAGCCAGAGAAGCCTAGCCAGGGCCAAGTTCAAAGGCAGCATAGCGAATAGAAAGTGGTGGGTTCTTTTGAGACAGCACTTGTTGATAATATGGAATTAATAACAGTTCCATTTGCTACACAGGATGATACAAGATTGCAGATAATGGCTGCATCTATTCACCGAAAGAAAATGTATTAAGCAATGCTTTCAATGCATAATGGTTGAGGTAGTTGGTACAGAAGGTATATGGTATATTAGCGGAGAATCTAAGGAGAAATAAATGAAAGTTGGGAGGTAATTGAAGAGAGCAGTCATTTTTAGGTAGGGCATTCATCGGAGTAGGATGGTTGGAGATTCTCAGAGGATTCTGAGGTTTCTACAGTCTAGGGCAGCTCCCCTTTGGAAAAAGAATATTTTAAAAAACCTTATACTTGCAAATTTTATGAAGAGATGTTACAATCTGAAGAAATCTCTGTTGGAAGGGACAAGTGTCACTCACTGGTGGTTCCCAGCACAGGCTCCAGCGTCCACAGTGAGCAATAGAACTATGGGAAGTAGAGGGTAGGTATGTGTCAATAAGAACCTATTGTGTGATGAAGAGCAAGAGGCCATTATGCCGACCCTCAGTCTCCTGATTTGTAAACAAGAGCAATATCACATCCTTATGCTTTTAAGGTGTGAATAAAGACATAGAAGTGAAATGTTTGACTGACTCTTAGGAATAAATGATATCCGTTTTTAAACATTTTATTCCTATCCCACACAGACGGGAGAACCAGCAGTCTCAACTTTAAGACCACAAAAAACTAAAATCCAAAGGGAATGACAGGCAAACCCCACACGGCCTTTAAGTGATGGGCTTAGTGGCGCCAGATGTATATACTGTCCCTGGGGCTTTTGACCTGTGGAATCAGTCTGTGTCAATGACCCTCGTGTGCTCCGCTCTGAAGCGGAACCTTATGGGGACCAGAAATCTCTTCAAGATGCAGCTGCCTCTCCACACCAATGCTTGAAATCAACCAGCAAGAATAGCAGAGGCTTCAGGCTCTAGCGGGGCTGGATTCAACTCCTGCTCTGCTGGTGGCAGCCTGGGACTGCAACCAAGGATCCCGCTGCTGCTGTTACCTCACCTGCAGTCTCACAGAACTGATCAGTGCTGCCCTAGGGGGCTCCAAAGGTGCAGTCAAGTAGCTTGCAGGGCGCTGCAAGCAGGAAGAAGTCAACACACACTCCAGGGACTATGTGGGAGCCTGGGGGGTGGGGGTGGGGGCGGGAGAGCAATGTTTTGAGAACTTTGAAGACAGGGTGACTTTGAAAGTGGCTATTGTGGAAAATACTCACTGGCATCTAACAACGCAAGGGTGGCCCATGGTGGCTGCTGGTGACGTTCAATGACCTAAAGTAAATAAGCCCATAATCAGAGGGTGCTCTGGTTTGGCTGCTGTGAGTTTGCTTGTCCACGAGTCATAATAATTTGCTGTGATAATACATCGGCCGTTAGCCCTCAAAGTCCCGTTACTAAGAGGTTATGAGACAGACGATCCTTCCAAAAAGAAAAACCACTACAGGATGTTCCAGATTGGAGCCACAATAGCAGCCCAAACAGAATGGACTTGCGTTTTGTTGGTACATCTCTATAAAAGAGTTTGGGACTGGAGTAACTGGGAAGCAGCCCAACTGTACACATCACTGGCTTGCCAGTAGAATATAATAAAATCAACTTAGTGATAGGACAATATAAAGCCTTCATCATTTCAAAGGCTCTTCAATTAATCAAGGTACATCTTTTGGAGGTCCATTTTTCTGTGCCTATTGATGACCCTCTCAAGGCCACATTTGGTTGCAGGAGTGACTAAGTCTACCACAACTCTAACCACCCTTGCTTGGCACTGTGCCTATTTGTGATAATTAAGTGACTTAGCACAGTCGTTTCCAGCCACCTCTGTTATTACTCTGTTGCTGGGACAACGGGAACCAGTCAACCGACAGAAACCAAGTTAGAGCAGAACAGAAGGAAGTCCACAAACAGGACACTTGCAGGGCTGTGACCTGATACCTGCCTACTACACTTTGCACATGCGATTTTCCTGGAAAGACACAGCCATTCTACTGCTTTTGGCCTCACCAAAGAAAGGCTTTTAAGTGGTCTCAACCATGCAAATTGTCTAGAGTAAAGGATCTGCCCCCTCCTCCACGAAGGCCTCTCTCCTGAATCAGCACCCCAGCAGCATGATGCCAGCCCCTGACTTGCTGAGTTCTTTCAACCTCCACACCACCCCATTGTCCACCGATTCCCTCTGCTAGCTTTCTGGTCAGGTCCCTGGCTGCAGTGACCTCATGTGCCATTTCCATCTTCTAGGTGACAGAAAGCACTCACAGTCCTCTCCCTTTTTGCAGGGGTGGGGCCCAGATCAGCAGAGAGAGAACAGAGTCTAAGTCACAGGACAATAAGTCAGGAGACCTGCTCATGTCACCTGGCCTTAAGCCCCAGTCATTGCTGTTTGAGAGGGTCAAGCACCCTGTGGTGTGTGACGATGGAAACTCACGTATTGCAGTGCTTCCTAGGAAGGGGTCAGAGTTTCCATAGACTGGCCCTGGTGACCTTCAGTCACTGTGTGACACACAGAGTAGGGGGCAAGGCTGGAAGGACACTATCATCCTTCTTCCTCCCAGGGTAGGGGCAGGAGGGCACATGCCAAACAGGTTTAGAATTTATCTGACCACTCACTACCCAGGTGACTTTGGACAGACTATTTCACCTGCTATGCAGTTTCTTACTTCTCCCTTTTGGGACCGTTGGGAGGAATGCTTGACATTAGCTACAGTGGTTAGGAGGGTGTGTGGGGAACACCCAACAAATGCCAGCAGCCATGGCTAGCTTGGCCATGAGATAGTCATCCTTACACCCCCACAATCATCTGGATCTGTTAAGTGGTCTCCAAGTGTGCAGAAGGCTGGAGCTATTGCAGGGGCATCATAGCCCTGGTGCTGACTGGACACTGCCATGCATGAGGTGCTTCTGGTAACAGAGACATTTCCCAAGGCTCCCAACCCCTAGTCTTCAGAAGCACGCCTGGAAGGATGAAGAAGCAGCTTTGTGGGTTTCTGTGCTTGGCTAAACACATGTGCTTCCAAGTGGCTGGCCAAGGCTGGAATTCCCCACCAGCAGCCAGCCTGGGCTTACTCCCCCTGTTGCCTCAACCCCTGCAATCAGGCCAGGCTCCTGCACTCCCTGCCTCCCCCCAGAGTCTTAAAGGCTGCCAGCTCCTCCCCCACCATTATCAGTTCCCTCTCTGCCCCCCCCCCCCATGTCTCAAAGTCAATGGAAGATATCAGCTCTTGCCACTCAGGGTTTTAAAACCTCAGCCCAGAGGACACTTCTAAAAAAGGGGACTACTGGGAAGGGAGGGCAGGGCTGAAGGCAGAGGCGGAGGTCATTAATTCTTCCAAGGCCAGTTGGCTCCAGCCTCTAGCATAGTGGCTCCACTCATCCCCAGGGCCGGGACACTGTTTCTGCAGAGTCATCCTTTCTTGTCCAGAGGGATCCTGGCCCAAAGCCACATTCCTGGTGGGGTCTAAATGCAGCAGAGAAGGAAGCATCCTCTCTTACCCACCCCCAGCCAGCAAGGCAGTCCTGGGACAAGCTGGTTTTCCTGTAACCTCTGCTGGCAGTAAGGCTCCGAACTCCAGGACCCAGATCTCCTGTGGGGGCAGGGAGTTAAGGCAGTGTTCTGGAAGGAGGAGCTGACCTGCAAGGAGCCAGGTCCCAAGGAAATGTGGAAACTATTTAAAATCCTGCTGGGGTGAAGGTGGATGAGCAGGAGATGGCTCAGTAGGTAAGAGCACTTGCTGCCAAACCTAACAACCCGAGTTTAGTCCTGGGACCCCACATGACACAAAGAGAACCGGCTACTGAAAGTTGTCTGCTGATCTCCCCATGTATCGTGGCGTACACGTGTGTACACACATGCATACATAAACATAATTCAAAATGTAAAACCCTGTCTGGAGCTGGGAACTGCCTCGGTTCATAAGGACCCGAGTTTGCATTCCTGATGTGCATGTAATAAAAGGTGTCATGGTGTCCACCTGTGTCCCCAGCACTGAGAAGGCAGAGACAGGAGGATCTCTGGAGGCCACTGGCCAGTTAGTCAAATCAGTGATCTACTGGCCAGGTGACAGGCTGTCTCCAACAATAAGGTGGAGAGCGATAGAGAAGACACAGGCATAGACATTTGACCTCCACACACAGGTCTATCTATGTGTGCATGCATTCCCTTCCACATGAACACACAACACACATACCAAAAACAAAAACCAGCCCTGACTTTCTCCTGAGTCCTGCCTGTGGGGTCAGGAGCCCCACTGGGAAAGATCTGAGGCCCCTCAGAACAGCAGTGCAGGGTTCCTTATCCCTAGTCCCATACTGACCCCCAGGCCAACAACTCCAGCATCCCTTTTCTGAGTGAAATGTGTATCCAGCCCAGTAATGGAGACACA